AACTGCCGCTTCCGCTGCTCTCAGTAATACTCAGGCCAGTGAATGAGATCAAGCTCTGATATGTGGTTTCCTGTTGCATTAGAACATCCTTTGCATTCCCAGAATAAAGTTCTATGCCTGTAGCATCCTCCCTTGTCACCGGAATATGATTAATGGAGGGATCTTAGAGAGAGATTTGGGGGCAAGCAGATCGACTGTAATCTTTCTATAGATGTTGCGAAATGGGGATCAGATTCTCGAAACAAATCACACCAGTAATCGCCTTTCTTTCTTTTGTCTTTTAATGAATTAGAGGCATCCACAGGATCTGAAGCTCAAACGAAAAGCCATCAAGAGCCCCCTCAGTTACCACGAGATGAGACCTCTTCTCCTCAGCATCAGATACACACAAGCTTTTTGTTGGGATGAGATAAATCGCTTTCAGAACCGAACAGGGGGCGTGTCCCTGACTCGGAAGCTTGTCATCTGCCGCCAAGGACGGTCGTCGTTCTTGCCTTACTGATAAGCACCTGCCTGCCGATTTGTCGCGTTTTGGACTCCTCGAGAAGGAGAAGAGACCACAGATAGGCTTACCTCTGATGTCGTGATGTTTGATGCTTTTGGTAACTCTGTTCCGTCCATCCTACCATTCGACTTTATATATCATATCCGTCCATATATAAATTTTATGTAATCGAATACATAATCTACTGAATTGGATGATTAATAAAACACTATGTGAGGAACATCGAGGAGCAAAACTGATAGCACAAAGATTGTCATCCTGTAATGGAGCCAAAGTTTGGCAGAGTGTGCTTCTTTGTCATCACTGTTACAGTAAATACTTTGGAGATCAGAAAGCCCCACGTCATTCTGTGTGGAGATGGCTCTGTGCATCACCCAATCTGTTAATACAAAGTGTGTGGAAGCAAGAATTCATCGAATTGTTACACCAATCATATATATATATATATATATATATATATGTATATATATTACTACTAGAATATGAATCTTATATCACGGTTCAAAATTTTCGTCATCAACATTATGATCAAAGAGTTAGGAAGAAAGACAGACACCTTCAGGACCTTGGAAATCATAGTTGACAAAAGAGAAGCTCAACATCTTTTCTTAGCTCTTGACAAAACGAGAAAACAGAACATAAATATTTAATACATGGATGGAGGTTAAATGATGTGTTACTACTGAGGTAGAGCCATCAAAGACTCCACGCTCTATTACTGCCATCCAACGAAGTTATAAATAAAATATTTAATATAAAAAATAAAATATTTAATGTGTATATTCATATCTGATTTTATTTATGTTTTGTACAATATATAAAAATATTATAATAGATTTTGTAATCTTATTTTAGTTGACTTTTATAGTTGTCTCAAGCATGTAAATACATGTTATGTTATGTACAATTATCAGATACGAAATTATAAAAAATCTAAATAATCATTTTAGGGGTTTTCTAGTTCCATAGAATGGTGTAATATTCAGGAGATACTAAGGTTGCACATGGCTTAATGGGCCTGTAGGATGGTGTTTGAGGCTAGCTCGTTGTCTTGTTCTACGGTTGTGCCATGTGGACATTTATAAGGACTTTTAATTATGACGGATCACTTTGGATCCTTTTGTCATACGATCGTTCAGAACTTACAAAGTTTATTATTATCATTTATGTTATTTATCAAATATTTACTAAAATAATTGCTAATTGAATCTTGAGTTAAATGGTTCTTCTAACCCATCTTTTCTTTTATAGGAATTTTGAGACTAATGAAGGTGAAAACAAATTTATATTCTAACAAAACTAGATATTTCATAGAATTAAGTGATAGATCATACTCCAACAAATTCTTCGTTAGCCTCACCGAGTAGCAGTTTAAATTGTAAATTCAACAAATGATTCCTCAAATGAAACCTCTCTAGAAAAATTCAAATCACTAATAGAAATTTATAATTCAATATTTTTTTATTTATTTCAAATCAAGATGCAACTAAAAAAGAGGAATGACAAAAAATAATAAAGTAAAAAAATCAAGTAAATTGAAAAGAATAAAACATATGAGCTAACGAATCTATCGAAAGAAAAAAATTATTAAATTAAAATAAATATTAAAAATAAAGTATAATGCAGATGAAAGAATCCAAAAGCATAAGTCTTAGCTTGTAGCAAAAGGATATTCATAGTAATAATGTATTAATTTTGATGATACTTTTTTTTTTAGTTATTAGATTCGAAACGATAAGAACTGTCTTGGCTTTAGTCGCTCACTTGAGTTGATCTATTTATCAATTTGATATAAAATATATATTTTTAAATGGAGATTTATAAGAATAGATTTTATTACTCTACCCAAAAGTTTTTTAGTTAAATAACATGAAGAAAAGTTGTATAAGCTAAAGAAGACTCTAAACAAGCTTTAAGGGCATGGTACACCAAAATTGATTATTAATTTCAATAAAAATAGATTTAAAATGAGTAATAATGAATATATTATTTTTTTTAAAGAAAGAAGGTAAATATAATATTCTTATATTTACCCTTATGTTAATGATATTATATATATGGGTTCATCTAACTCTTCTATTGTAGAATTGAAAAAAATACATAATGAATAAGTTTGAAATGTCATATCTAGGTCTACTGCACTATTTTCTTGGGTGGAAGATTAAGTATGGATTAGATGAAAATTTTATTTTACAAAAAACGTATACAATTGATATACTCAAAAAGTCTAACATGATTAATTACAAAGTTGTATCAACACCCATGTAAACGAGAAATTAAAACTTGAAAATGGTATGTATTTGACAAATGCAAAATACTACAAAGTTTGGTTGGAGATTTAGTTTATCTAACTTATACTCAACTATATATTACTTTCTCTATTAGTGCAATATCCAAGTTTATCTATAATCCAAGTAAACATATCCTGGAGTTATTAAAAGAATTTTACGTTATATTATCAAAATTACAAGGAATGGCATTTGATATTCTCATAATTTTATATGTAAATTATTTGGTTTCACTAATAGTGGTTAAAAAGGAGCTTTAGATGATAAAAAGAATACATCGAGATCTATATCTTCGAGTTCAAAGAAATAAGCAATAATTGTATTATCAATATTAAAAATAGATTATATAGCTATAATATGAATAGCTTTTCAAATAATATGGCTTAAAAGACTTCTTTGATAATGTTTAAGAACAAAAAGAAATAACTGAAATATTTTGTAATAACAAAGTAACAATTGTAATGACGAAAAATTTAATATTTAATCAAATAATAAAGAATATAAAGATATGTTATCATTTTATCCAGATTAGTAAATGGAGCCATAATAATAAAGTATTGTAACATAGATGAATAAGTTGTAGATATTCTCAGTAATTCACTTTAAATCGGGGGAGTATAGTTATCTTAGATAGTTATCATACTTTAGATAGTTCTAATCATGTTCTAAATAGTTATAACTATGTGGCCCTTAATTTAAGAAGTTATTATCATGGATTAGTTCCTAAACTTAATCGTGGATAACATGATAATATGAGATAGTTATTATTAGGTCCTGTATAGGACCATAATTCATGAAGCAAAAATATATATACTTAGTAATATTTTACAAATATATTTAGTCTTATCTTTTATTTAATATTATTTTTATTTTCATGGTTGAAAATATTTTTTAATTATATCATAGTGTGTTATTTTTATCATTATGTTGCTCCTCCTCCATCCCAACCCACACGTTGACGATGGAGGACTAAGTTACATATCTGACGTCTAAGTGAGTGAAGACGCAATGTGTAACACCCCTGATTAGTCCCACATTGAAAGTAGGTAATATTAAGATTGACTTATAAGGGTCTGATAGTGTACTACTATCAACTTTAACTTAAGCATTTTGGTCAGTGGTTTAGACCAAACGAAGTTGATAGGCTAGTTAGCCCATCAGGCTCGGGTCGTGACATTTAGTATCAAAGCTGACCTAACATGATTAGTCTCACAACGAAAATGAGTAAGATTCAGATTGACTTATAAGAGTCATGAGTGTGCCCATCAACTATGCATTAGAACATCCTTTTCATTCCCAGAATAAAGTTGTAGCATCTTATCTTGTAATTAACATATAGTGGGATATGATTTAATGGAGGGATCTTAGAGAGACATTTGGGCGCAAACAGATCGAATATAATCTTTCTATAGATGTTGGGAGATGGGTATCAGATTCTCGAAATGGGGATTAGACTCCAAATGGATTATTAATATAAGTCAAGCAAAGATACAGGAAGAAAAATAAATAATAATAATAATAATAATCAAGTAAAATTTTGAAGATCTTAAATCGATTCATCAATAAATCAAATCGATCTTAATTAAAAAATATAAATATGATCGAGGTCATCACCTTGAGTCCATAACCGGTTCAAATCGGTCCGAAAGCCCTAATGGCACAGTATAAATAAATATGCTCTTTCTTTACCTTAATCCTTGTTTATATAACTATGAAGACTTTACATTTAATCAATGCTAGACAAGGAACTTTTTGAGAATATATAGGGTCACATTTTGATTAGAAACTTTTTGAGAATGTTAGCACAATTAAACTTTTTTTAATTATTTAAAAATAAATATAGATTAGTCGAATTGAATTAAACGGTCTTGAATCGATTAGGCTGGTCCAAACTAGTTTGGATTAGAACTATTTAAATTATTTAAAAATAACCATCTATTCATAATCGAACCATTTTTTCGATTCAATTTGAACCTTAATGCTACGGTTTAAATCGATATGAACCGAAGCCGACCCAGCTAATGAATAAAAAATGACTTGATTCGGGTTGAACCGAATCCAATTTAATTGCAAGCGCTTGTGGCCACAACCGTGAGCACAAGGCGCTTTAAATCCTCCTACATGGATGGTGGTTAAATGATGTGATACTACTGACGTATAACCATCACATGATCAGACAAACGCATGCCATGCTTTGCATCAAAGACTCCACGAAACAATACACCATACCTCAGATTCGATGATTAAACAGAAAACCAACGTCTGAGAAGTCGATCAAAGCTTACATCGTGCTTGCAGGCATTGCAAGAATCCCCTGACGACAGATGATGATAGTACAAACCGTTGCTAAGAACAATACTTGATTCTGGCAGCAAACTTACAAAGCAGAGGGTGATTATTGGCTTATTGGCCAAGATTAACATCAAGGGTGGGATTCGGATTGAGCTGCATGTCTGCATATTTTGGTGCTGAGGAAATCTAAACTCTTGATCAGGATCGGTTAATGGACCAATACCAAATATAAAACAGACATTTGGGTCTTCTAAAAGCTAAACATCATGTCCATAACTTTGGACAGGGCAGACTTTGTAGGTGAGGCAATGGCCTTTGTAGAGCCTTGGCCAGTTTCACTGGTTGCAATGTTGCTGCTATGCTGCTGTTTATGGTGAGTCCAGGTAGATGGTGCCACCGGGCTCCGACCGGCAGAGCTCCCTGCTACTGATCCCAAGGGCATGGGAACCATGAAGCCCCTGTTATGGTTGCTTTCAAGATGCTCATTTAGATACTGCTTCTGCTGAGGATCGATAGGCTTCACCCCAATGATGAGAACACTGTTTAACTGCATGCCATGCTTTGCGAGGGCCTTCCGGGCATCGTATCGGCTCTGCATAGAATCGGAAAGAAGTGGAAATTCCATACTGAATCAGAAGATCCCAGCAAGCGAGACTCAGACTAAATGTAAGGGAGTATTAAAACATCACCAGAATTTTATATCATTCGTCTTCCAGGAAGTTTCATCATAATAAGAACACAATAATAAATCAATATCAAGGATAATAATCTCAGTACAATCAACAATTGGAGACTACAGATTTTTAAAATATTTGTACATAAAACAACACTTTTGTATAAACTGGTTCTATACTCAAAAGTTTCACCAATAGTTGTAGCAGCATTTAGCAAAAGAGAACATGAAGTAAAAGGTGGAGAAAATGATTAAAATGTATGGCTAACAAACAACTGACTTTGAGTTTCCATGCAGGCCTCTTTCAAAAATCATTTTACTTGGAACGGTGTGTCACGAATGATCGTCGTGCACCCGCAACAACTCCGTTCAACGAACCGTTCGTCACTCGCATCTACATGTACAGCTGCTTGGCAGCATGTTTTGTCTTGGTTTTGAGTCATTTTGCTTGTAAAAATGTAAGTTCGAACAAGTTGCAGCGCTACAAAGCGACCGCTCATCGAACCGAGCAAAACAACCCCAAAACAGTTCCGTTTTCGTGTGCCACGGGCTGCTTTCTGCAGTCCGCTTCCGCTCACCAAAACGTCAGCCATCTCAGCCCCTTGGAACCCCCCAGGTGGCATCGGGCTGGATGGGGCTTCGGTATAGTGTCGGGCGTTGAACAACCTTTCGCAAGTTCGCACGTTACCTTGACAGGAACTTGTTGTCGCGCCTGGCACCCGGTGAGCAACTGTTTGTGGACTTGCAGCTGTTCGTTCAACCCTCTAAAGTCCTTGTTTTCCCTTGTGCACACAAGGAGCTCGCTGAATTGCTTGTAAAGCTTCCTCTCTTTTTGCGAGACGTTGGGACTTGTCCTTCGCTCGTTCTTTCGAACTAATCAACTTTCTCTTTTACGGGTCCTTCGGGACATGCGAGAGGTTGCAAGTGGGCTGATCTTTGTAGAGCAATATCGCAAGGGCGAAGCGCGACTTAGGCAACGCAAGCTAAGTTCGCATCTTTACTGCAAGGGTGCCTCGCGACTTAGGCAACGCAAGCTAAGTTCGCGTCTTGGCCGCAAGGGTGCCTCACGCCTTAGGCAATTCCAGCTAAGGTCGTAACAAATGGGCAGAAGAAGAAGTTTGCTTCTAATAGGACAAAAGGAAAAGATGACCGGAAGAAGAGCAAATCAAGCATAAACAGTAGATGAATCTGAACCAAATTAATAGGTGCACCTCGATAAAACTAGTGTAGGCGATTAACATTTGGACACCAGATAGAAATCAAGCAAATGTCTTTGTTATGCAACCAATAGTCGCAAGTCAAAATCCCTAATTTGCACTCTCATTTTCACACAATGGTAAAATCTTATGTAAGTTACAGATTCATGAATATAATGGTGAAATAAAGCATACCGTGTCTTTAATTGCTTGTTATTTAGGTATTTGACATGCTAATTAGTAATGGTTACAGAAAATCTGTCTGATGGTTGCCTAGAGCATTATGCATCACCAATTGCCTATGAGTTAGGTTGCCTAAAGCATATCGACATTATACATAAGATTGAAACAGTATAAACCTTGAAGTATTTGACTAAATGACTTCAGAAAACAAGAGGTACCTGGTACAAAATATGCACCCAGTTAGCATCTCTTGGACCAAGGACGTGTTTCAGTATTACTCCAAATTTCTCAAATTCTTGCAGTACCAAGTTTGTATCACCAATGGAAAATCTGAAAGGTAACAAAGATATGAATAGCTGAAGTGCAATGAAAAGGTATACCAACAGAAAAATTTGTGGGTTTTTTTATTGTATCACAATTAACCACCATTTGAGAAATTACACAGAGAAGTCATGTGTAAAAGATGCAAAAGTCTTCTTAAATTATTGTGACGTCAAAATTATGTCATTATGGGCAAAACAACATGTGTGACCACAACTGATAGCGCCAAGTAATTGTCTCCAGCAACATAAAGGGTACACAAGGACAAAATTTTGCAAAGCCAAAAGTCATGGCATGTCTGTGCAAGTCACCTGTAAGGTGCTGAAGGGTACCACCCACTGCTAAATGGCGACAATATATGGATGATAACAACCAAATGCAATTTTCATCCATTAATTAGTGCATTTTCATGCCTGAAACGGTACATACACCAACAGGCCGTCATGCTGGAAAACCACAAGACATGTAACATGCCCCTTGCAATAGGCTTTGGTATTGTGCAGTAATTTAGGTAGAGTTAATTCTATAATAGAGACGTAATAAGACAAATTTTAACAAAACAACTCGCAAACAAACAAAAGAGTCACAGAGAAGAGAATACAACAGAAACATAAATAATATGAGAAAATGTTTCTGCAGCATAATACTAGGACCACTAATGTATGCCATAATCTCACATCAAATAATTAGACATATGAACTCTAGTATCAACAACAACAACAACAACAACAATAAAGCCGTAAGTCTCAACTATTTGAAATATGAACTATAGTATCAAACAACCAAAATTGTAACATTGCTAGATTGTCGTAACCATAAAGGGTTTGGAAGGCAGATGTAGAGAGGCAGAAGAACTAGACACACATATGAGCACACAGACAAAATGCCAAAAATATATTTGATTTAACTAAAATACAAATGAAGTTCTTATTTTAACGGGTTTGAACACGAACACTTTAACAAACAAATATGCATGATGAATATAGGGAATGAAACACTTTAAAGAACAATATTGTCAGTTTACTCGTGATAAAATGTTACATGGAAGAAACCACAGCAGAGGGGACAAACTCATTTCTCAATCTATACATGGCACTAGCAGCAAGCTAAAAACAATGACAAGAAAATCTTTAACCTACTTTGGAATAAGACCAACCGAATGATGAACAATCACACCTTTCTTTAGTAAGTTTGAGCAGAAAGCTTTGCAGAATGAGAAAGCTAAAAGAAAAGGACAAGGCTCATGAACAATATGCCCTAATTACTAGTTCAAATTAGCAATAAAAGAGAAGCAATAAAAAACATCCCCTGTTACAACAAGAAACAACCTTGAGGGATGCAAATTTTTATGATAGAAGTATTTTGAATTCGCAGGTAGCATGAGTAAATATGTAATGTACATCGTAGTCCAAGGAAAATAAATCAACAACACGATACTTTGATTGACTAGTCCATGATCTCAGAAATTATATTTGTTTCAGGCTATCAACAATGTTCAAGAACAGTTCTGACCACACAAAAAAAAATCTTTAAATTAATATGTGGCTTAGTTCGTTCTTCCCCGATCTATAAAATCCCAACTAATAAGAGATCCCGTCAACCCTAAATGAAGAAAATAGCGTTGCGTTTGACAAAATAGATGAGAAGTATGTCGATGAGACATACCCGTACACGGTAACCCACTGCTCTTCATCGAGCGCTCCCGCCAAGGGCAAGCTATTCCGCCGGACTTCTGGCCTAGCCACTTCCCTCGGCGGCGGAAGAGTGATCAACGCCCCCGGCTGGACGATCCCGTCAACCGGCGAACTCTTCCCCTTCCCCGTACGGTCTCCGGTGCCGCTGCTCTTGCCCGGGGACACCCAACCCGAGTCCCCACCGCTCGGAAACCGGAGGACCCGAAACCCCTCGTCGGGGGCGCCGGAGCCACTGGGCTCCGCGGTGACCTTGAAAGGGGATGAGAACGAGGCGGGCCCATAAAGGGCGTGCGGAGGGGTTCGGGACACGGGAGAGGGCGGCGTCAGGTCAGCGGCGAGGGCAGGCTCGGGGGAGAAGTCGACGCGGTCGCCGAGGGTGAATACCGGCGGCGGGGGCGGGTCAGCGGAGGCGAAGTTGTCGCGCCAGAGGGCGGAGACGGCCGCTGCCTGGCCGGGAGTGGCGAAGCGTCCGGCGCC